CTGCATGTAGGTAACCAGCACGTGCCCCTGTTCTGCCCTTGGTCTCATGACACTGCCTCAGCAACTGTACAACTAGCTGAATCAGGGAATCCAAGTGACAGAACAAAAGCAGGAGTAGAAGGGGACAAATTTTGGATGGACCAATGTCAGTTGACAACTATATGAATGCCAGCCTTGGTGCAAGTGACCAGCAAAGCTGAGAACTCTAGGGCTAGAGAACAGACGGCAGCACAGCTCTCTTCCTTGGGAGTCTAGTTTTACCATCATTTCACTAAATCCAGCCTTGCAAAGAAGAAAGGCTGAAAGGAAATGCAGCTCATGACTTCTGTGGTTTTCAAAAACTTTTAGTTCAAAAAGCTGAACAAACCCAAACAACTGGCTCAATCTGTACTCCTTACCTCCCTGCCGTGCCACCGTTTGAAAAGGTACAGCAGGAAGCCACACGAGCTGTTTGGAACAGTCACAGCTCCTAGCAGTGCTTGAGTAAAAATCACCATGGTCACTGGCACTTACTGTGAAGATAGTCCTGCAGGCATGCAGCGTTGCAGAAGGTTTGACTTAACCTCTTTTCACTGAATTCAAGTCTGACATTCCGATTTGCAATTCCAAATTTTCAAAAGAGAGTTTTGGAAAACTTTTTAAAAAACGTGTATCAAATCATAGTCTAGAAAGCCTTTAACAGTAAAAATCACAAACTACAGCCCAGCTTACCCCAATAGTCCATTTTGCATTTGAGCTCTCTTCTCTGAAAGATATTCTAGGTTCCTTTACTCGTAGAGGAGGAGTGACTGACCGTCCTGGAGAAGCAGAGGGAGTTGCTAAGGGTGTGGTACGAAGGCTGGACCTGAGAATAGACTGAGGTGTAAACCCAGGAAAACCAGACGTAGATGCAGCCAAAGCTTTCGCTCTCTACAAAAAGAAAGTAAATAATTTAAACGTAAATCAGTTACATTCTCAAAACCAAAAAGCTTCACTTGTCAAAAGTATGAGTCTCCATTGCAAATGGAGTTTGTACCAGCAGAAGGGACAAAGTTTAGCCTCTGCACTGCCTTTTTTTTTAAAAATACCAGCATAAAATGTTCTTTTTCCAATTAACTTCCTGAAGAAACACAGATATGGCTTCTCTCAGGCATGCCACCCTGCAGGAAGACTTGGATAGGCTGGAAGAGTGGGCTAACAAGTACCTTATGAAGTTCAACAAAGACAAGTGTAAGGTCTTGGACCTGTGAAAATCATCACCTAAGAGTGTTCCAAGAGGACACTGGGTTGCACCAACAAGGAAATCACCAGCAGAGATAAAGAAGTCTAGCACTCTAGTCAGTGCTTGTCAGGCCACACCTGTCCTCAGTTTTGGCCCTTGCTATACTGAAAAGATGTGAAAGGCTGTAGAGGATCCAGAGAAGGGCCACAAAAACCATCAGAAGACTAGGAAACCTGCCATCTGAGAAAAGGCTCGAAGAACTGAGTTTGTTCAGCCCTGAGAATAGAAGGCTTTGGGGAAATCTTATTAACATGTTTCAGTATTTAAGGGATGGCTACAAATTTAGAGACTCCATTTTTACAAAGAGTCACATGGAAAAGCCATGGGGTAAAGGGACCAAGTTAATCCTGGGGAAATTCCAATGAGACACAACAGGAAAAATTTTCACAAGAAGAACGATCAGTCATTGCAATAATCTCCCCAGGGAAGTGGTGCAGTCCCAAACATTGCATACGTGGAAGATTTAGCTGGACAAAGTGATGGGCCATCTTACCTAGACCATGCTTTTCCCAAGAAGGGTCAGACCAGATGATCCTTGAGGTTCCTTTCAACCTGGTATTCTATGATCTTGTCTGCAATGTTACCTCCCATCCCAGTGGTCTGCAGTTTTCTACACTGCTATTCTCTAAGGTGTACAACTTCCAGTGTTACCCCGAGTAGAGCGACTGAAAACACTGCTGTGCAGAACAGCAACCAGCAAAGCAACAGCTACAGCTGCTTTTTCACCAGTTCAGTCCCTGCACTAGCCTAAATGAAGTGACACTGCTGTAAAAGTGCCTACACATCTTCACCTAGAAGCATTCAGGTCTTCTTACCTCAGCTCAAAAAAGATTTTACAGTATGGGAAGGGCTTAAAAAGAAGGGTAATGAAACTAGCTTAATGATATGAGCAATATTTAACCACAAAAAAAAACAATTCAGAGACATCAGAACTATTTTGTTCAGGTAGGCAAAGGCAAAAAGAACAGCACCAAGATAGGTCGTACGTGACTTCCTTACATGATAAGAGTTTGATGGCAGTGAATGGAAATACACTTTAACAAACAATTAGTAAGTAAAATTACTGCAAAAAGATATCTGAGTTTGACAGAGACTGACATCACTTGGTTGTCACTCACTTCACTGCATTAAGAAACTGAAGCATACACATTCTTGCTGGTAGGTCTGCAAGTCAAACTATACAGAGCTATTGAGCACTTCAAGAATGAGATGGTTAAGCTACAAACTGCATCTCTAAGTATACTGAAAAGTCCAATTTTAACTTCCTTTGTGCCATGTGTATTTCTGGTGAATCTAAGGGATAACATGCATATGGCAATTAAATTAAGAGCTCAACTTTCCCTCTTCAAGACCATTCCCAAAACACTGCTTCCAAAAGGACTGCATCTACAAAAAGCCACCTGCGTACTGAAATTAATCCACAAACTGAGTCCACCAGTGTCTGTGTAAAATGCTCTGGTGGTTTCATTTTGAACAAAGTTTACAGGCTTTTGGTCTGGTGGGTTCCTACAATTTTTTATTTTTTTTTTTTTAAAGTACAAACCTTAACCACAAGAGGAGTCTGTAGTAAATTCAGCTCTGGTGCTCTTGAAAAATTCTTTTGTGAGATGGAACCATGCATATTTGCTTTCAATGGACTGGATGCCATGAACGAAGTAGAAGCTCTGCATGGTGACTGCCAGCTACCACCCTGTGCTTCAGAACACGAAGGAACAGGACGAACCACCAAATCCAGCAATCTGTCAAGATAGTTTAAAACATGAACATAAATAAATACATGAAAATAAAACCCATGATGCTTTCAAGACATCTGATACATAACAAGAAACATTCAATGAACAAGAAATACAGATGAATCACTGCTGGGGTGACACATCGTGCCCATGAACAAGCTACAGGCATTTCAATTATTGCTGTATATTTCATACTTAATTTCCTAAGTCAGTGCCCCTGAGACGGGAGCAATCCAATCTGAAGTTGCACAAGTGATGAAGTTCTCACGTCAGAAGAAAATTTTACCTTTTAAGTATTTTTTATTGAAATCTACATTTCAATGCTGGGACAACTAACTTCAAATTGTCCACTTAGTTGTGGCCCAAAGTTGACCAACAGAACTAAATTGCAAAGAGAACATTCTGCAGAGCAGAAAGTATACACGTACAGGCACACACACATGCACAGAAGAAGAAACACCTTCTTGAAATATTCAGTTTATAGACCTACTATACCTGGAACATTTTCGTGAAGAGTTTGCAATTGGTGTCCCAACAAATGCATCACACAGCTCTGCGTCTGGGAGACGATGTGACAGGACTTGTGGTTCTGTAGCTCTAGGACTACAATTACAAGAAAAAATGAACTGGCTTTCATTTTTTCAAAGTCCAAACAGAACAGAATTCAAGTTTATTTGACCACACCACCTGTAGGAAAATCATCTGACAAGTACTGTAGCTCTTTTCCACTCTTTATAATTCTACCTATTTTGAAGAAAAAAGGGCAGAACCGAAGCCAAATCTGGGCAGGAAGTGGTTAAAGGTTACTATTAGACCAGACAACCAACTTAAATTCTGTAAACACATTTATCTTAGTGTAAATACATTCATATATAAGATTATCATAGCAGACAAACTCTCTCTCCAAATATTGCTTGTGATGAATCGACTCTTAAATATTTTATATTCTATGTGCAAAAAAGCAAAACAAAGCTTTATTTAGGTACACCTCCCCTCCAAAACACTAACATCATTCAAATGGATTTGTCTCTCTCCCATCTCCAAACATGTACCTGCTACAAACATGTAACAAGGCCAAACTTTGTTACAAGGCTGCTTACCTATCATATTGTGAGACACTGGCTTTCTGCTCGCTTCCTCCCCATACTTCTCCAATTTTGAACAATACATTGTTGATAAGAGTTGCCCTTGTATGCACATTTCCTGCTTTAGCTTGTTTTGTTACTGTTGATAATGGCTTTGGTCTTGAGACTGCAAAGCAAGAGGAGGGAAAAAATATCAGCCTTGTAAAATCAAAGTGATGGTCCATTGTATTTCCCCCCCTAAAAATTACCTTCTCTTAAGACTGAAGGCAAACGGTAAGGCTTCGCTCTCTCTACAGCCAGCTTCCTTTGAACTCTAGGAAGGACCTTCCCATATTGGTCTAGGATAGAATTTCTGGCCACTGCTCGCTCTCTCAGGCGAGGATTGCGGTCATTCTGATGAACAGACAGCGTAAAGTAAAAAGTTGTCTCATTACAAGTTAATGGCACAGAACTACCTGTACTGTTTCTCATTTCTTCTACAGACAGAGTAAAATACATCCACTGCACAGAACAGCAGTGAGTTCCACCCATCAGCACATGCCAGCTTCACCTGGAAGGAAGACTAGAGCAGTAACAGAACCTATGACTCTGAAGTTAAAAACTAAGTGCCACGAACAACATGCAGAACCGTGAACTCTGCAGAACCTTCATCTGATACAGTTGTTATCACCTGCAATTCTCAAATGTATTACAACATAGCAGGCTCTCCCTTGGCTCGCCTGAAGCACCAATGTCTGAGATGACTGAATATACAGGACAACTGCAAATTGTTTGATGAAGTGATTTCAATTTTAAAATGAGTCAGAAGAAGCTACCTACACACCCAGCTTCTAGCTGAATGAAAGTTTTCAAATGCAAGACCTAAAACTTCCAAGACCACCTTTTAAATTTGGTTCACTGGAAAACTGCACTTCCAGAAAGCAGCAACTGCATCACAGATTCTTAACAGAAGTTCACATAGTGCAGATTTTAAGCTGGATCTTTTGAGAAACAGAAGCTAGGCAAGAATTTCTGTCATAAAAGTGGTAAAATGAAAGCTGTGAAATTGCAGAGCTCACATCATAACTTCCAAAAAAAGAAAACACACCAATTTTGCCTACGGACTGGTATCCAGGCTGCTCTCAGCTAGAAAAATAAAGTTGTGTGCAAGATACAGGAGATGACATACAACATGCTTTTCATTCCACAGAAAGGAGTGGCACAAACAACTTTCAATAGTCTCAACCACATAGAACGTATGTATCTGTAAAACTAAATTAAAAGACTGGCCTATAGAAAACATCTATATTTACTCCTCCAATGCAAACAAACTATTTTAAGCGGAGTTAACAATAGTCTGTAACATCTAATTTATAGCTTCACAGTGTAGTTTTGAAGCAGTGAAGTATTTTGTTCAACTTTTAGTTTCAGCTGTAACTTAAGGCATAGAAACTTATTCCTAGTACTTCAAAGAATGGTATAAAAACAAAGGATTTTTACTGAGTACTACTAAAACCAGTTAGTAACACCTAACAAACTTGCACAGTTGACAGAACTTCTATGCTTACCATATGATTAACATTCATTGACTGATTCAACTGTAGTGCTGGGATATAATTGGCACGCTGCAGATGGTAGACTAGAAGAAATTCAGGATTCTGAACACCAGCATTGGTCTGTAAAAACTTCTCCAAACACTCCTATGAGAAATAACAAATTTCAAAAATCTGTTATCATTCTGACTCTTCTCTTTTCAAAGAGGTGATTAAGATTTTTTTTCTTTGTGCACACTTACTTGTTCAGTGTCTGTGAAAGGTAGCTTCAGTAAGTCTTCCATTAGTCCCATCTCCTGGCAGATTTCATACATGTGTTTTAACAGCTCTTCCACATTTAACTTAGTGGCATGTTGCTGCAACAAACCCCAAGCCTCCACCATGCACCTGTAATTCATTTTTTTAATATGTAAAGGAATATTGAGAGTATAGCCAAAAAGATGCCCCCGAATTATTCAAGGTTTAAAGGAAGTGTAAAGGATTGATTTGTATCTTTGTTCTCCACCTTTCACAGTGTTTCAATGCCAACATAATGGGATGTATTTCTTTACCTGTTGGACAACAGCACAGTGAGGAAAAGCTGCACTTCACTGTTGCTGGACACTGATGGCCTCATCATCTGCATGTATCTGAGGGCTTGCCTATGCTCTCCTTGGCACATGAGGGACTGAATAATTCTCATATGTTGCCATGGCACAGTTTTGATTGTGGCTGGATGGAAGAGCAGGGCCAGTGAATTCTGTGGAAGTTAGAGATCAGCTTTATTATGATAAATATGTACATATACGCACGCAACAAAAATATTCCAAAGTTTAAGTAAGGGTGAATGCGTGTTAAATAAACTTAGATGACAAACTAATTAAATACTTGATGCAGGACATGCATATAAAAATTCTTAAGTATCTGCAGAAAAAAGAATCAGTAAGCCATACATTACAAAATGAGTAATTTAAAAGAAGTAGTTCATACTTTTCTGAGTTAACCTAATTTCTGTATATGAACACCACTTTTTGTAAATACATGACTGAAGTAGTCAGTTATTCTCCCAGACAAGCAGACTATATTAGCATCATGACAAGCAAAGAACAACCTTCAGCACCAGAAAGAACATGAGTTAGGTTGAAAAGTCACTTTTGCAGTCTTTTGTATCACATCTTGCTGCTATGATCATAGTTTTAATACTTAAAGTACCTAAAACACGGTTTTTGAGAAAGTGCTCAACTCGTCTACTGAAAACAACCTAAATGGATAAAATGAAAATTCAAGTATCAAGCAGTTACAGTAAATTTTTTGTTTTAATCCATTTCCTGACAAAGTAATTAAAATAAAATTTCAAATCACAATTTATTGAAGATGATGTAGTAGTATTCCAAAAAAAGCTCCTCATGTTTTATCAAATTATTAGCTAAGCACCAATTTTTAAAAATTATTTTATGCATTACAGCTTAGTACTGCAATGTATGTCTAACTGATCTGTTACATACTTACTTCATAATCATTGTGATCTAGAAGCCAAAAGCCTTGAATAAGCTTAACAAGACCCCAAGGGACAGAAAAGGCAGTTGGGAAGGAGTCAATTGAAGTTTCTGTTTTATTTGGAAAGGAATGCATGATATCTAGCAGCAAGTAAATAGTCTGATATTAAGTATGTAATTAAGGCAAATAAGACAAAAAATTTATGACATTACATTCAGAAAAGAATAATGAAAGAAGAATATCAACGTGGTAGGAAGCAGAAAATACTAATGTCTTGACAATCTGAACTACTATAACCTGAAGATAGTCAGGTCCTAACCACAAAATTGTATTCTGAATAAACAGACGGAAATAAATACTCTGATTTTTGTAACATGTTCAAAAAGGGTAACTTTAGATAATTTAATACCTAAGTTACAAACTCAGGTTCCCAGTTTAGTCAGTGATGTTGCCAGCTGGACACTCAAAGCACATGAACATTCAATGCTTCATTATAAATGCAAACAAATTCTACAGTTGGGTTTTTTTCCCCCCTCATTTCCAGAGTATACAAAACAATGTAAATTACGGCGCCCTGACGATACCGCTTGGCTCTGAATAATTAAAACTGGATTTAAAACAGTACGTGCATCACTCACTGGAGTGTCATTTTCCTTTTCTGACATCTGTTTTTAGGGACCCATTCTAATAAGTCAGCTCTGGGGTACAACTGTTTTTAAACCCCTTGCTGTCTCAGCTCCCCTCTCAGGTTAGGCAACAAAAAAACCTGTTCTGTTCTGATTCTGTTTATTTCAGCAGCTTAAAAAGTAAGTTTCTGCCCAATGACTTGACTTTCCTGTTTATTATTCTGTGTGCTGCTGGTTTAACAGAACAAAAACAAGTACTGTTAGCTGTGCTGGAAAAATCAATGATTTCATGAAAAAATGAGGTACTAGTAAACCATCGTTAGAAATCTTTTTGCTCTGAAGCATCACATTTTAGTGCATCATTCTAGTAAGCAGCCATTTGAAACAGATGTGGGTGATTTTTAAAAATTTTAACAGTTTAAATTTTGATAAAAACTAAAGGATAACTAATATTACTTAGTAAGCTTTTTTCCCTCACACCAGAAAAGACTTTGCAACAAAACATTAAAAAAAATCATAAAAAATCTGCACTACAAAGAAATGAACAATGCTTCTGTCTATGACATTCTTCCAAACTATGTTTTCACTTGCATTGTGTTTGAAGCATAAGTTTTAAAAATGTTTTTAACACCTAGGTGACAAACACTTGAGAAAATATTTTATTACACCTCCAGTATATACACAACTAGAAAGGATACAATTGCATGTTTGTAGCTTTCTTCAATGCTTTCTAGCAGATAGAGATCCAGTAGTGCCTGAAAGGAAAAAAAATATAATTAATAAAACAACCTCCTGTCTTCACAAATCATTGGCTTTTGGTCAGGGATTTGTTGGGATTTTTTTTTTTTAGTAAACATAACACTCACATGTAAACTAGCAGGTGGGTATTTCCCAGTTCCTCCTTCATCTCTCTGCCACAACTTCTCAACTTGCTCTCCTAACTGGGAAACCAATCCATCAATCATCAAGCAGTCAGAATCCCATTTTCCTCTGAAACAAAAGGTAGCAAGGATTTGGTCAGAGTAAACCACTAATTCTAGCCTCTCAGTGTGATAGATTTCCTCCAGTCGAAATAAACAAAAAAGCTCTTATGAGTTAAAGGAAGTAACAAACATACAAAGGCACAATTATTATTTGAAAGGCACATGGAAGAAATTTCTGAGTCAGATGAAAGATGTTCCTTAGATACTGAATTAAAGGAATTCACAACAGAAATCCTAAAAGCTCTCTTATTAAGGAACAGTTGCAACCTTTTATTTTTCAGGTTTCCTTTTTTTTTTTTGTTGTATTACCTGTAGTACAAAGGAAGTGCAAACGGAGTCTTTTACGTGCCAAAAATAACCACTCTCCTCCTGTCTAACAGAGGAAATGTAACAGTATCAAAATACCAAGACTATTCTTGATCACAAATCAATGCCTTCAAACTGGAGTGTTCCAATACACCCGTGAGACAAAATAATGGAAACTTCAGATTTTGTTTTCAGCATCTCACTTTTGTTACTGACGGAAAGTTATTTCCAGACAGCTGAGCATACAGGTAAATCTTAGTATCCACTTAGGCAGCATTCATGTTTCTATACACATAGTATCACAATCAAGGAGGGCTGAGCCTTTAAAAATTACATTATTCAAAAATCCATTACAATCTTCTGCTAAGCACAATGCTACCCTTTAATTCCCCAATGATAAAAAGCAGGAAAATCAGACTAGAGGTTGTATGCTTCTACAGAACAGGAACCTGTATGTAAGTCACTTGAGAAGTAAGCAAAGATAAACTTTGAAGTCAATGCCTAACTGACTGTAGCTTCCACCTTAACTCATCTTGCAGCACCTTGTTCACAGTGCCAAAGCCCAAGCTTCTTTAGTTCTTTATTGAGCTTCCAGTACAATTTCCAAAGAAAAACCTATTATCATCTAATCCAAAGCATATTACTCAAATACTAGCAAGCTAGTCTAGTTTGCATGAGGAAGTGACTTCTATCAAATAGCCCAGAGAGTGCCAGGTGTCCAATACAACTGTTTTGTGAACATTGTGCTTTGCTGAAGTGGAGATGACTGATCCTATCCTAATCACATAATCTTTCTCAGTAGAAAAAAAATATACAGATTAGCCAATGAATTAAGTAGATTACAAAAAAAGGGAGGACACCCAACAAATGGTACTAAGCAGAAGTACATATAAACACTAAACACAAAGATTACTTTCCTGTGTTGCAACAGAACACACACGTCACTGAAATCAAGAGTACCACTAGTAAAAACTACATTAAGCACAGCTTAAAACAAATATAACTGTTGATATAAAAGCCATTCGCTTCCACTTCTGAATTTGAAAAAGTGTTTTCTTGCAAGGCTTACCTCGACAAACGCTCCAGATCCTGTCGGTGACCAGTATAGTAGCTCTGAATCAGAGGATAATTGTAGAAAGGTCTAGACAAGTGCATATCGTCATCTACAGGCAATAAAGCCAATGCAAGTTAAAGAAGTAATAACACATTTTTAGACTAAAATTTTTGACTAAGACGACAGAATATCATGCAAGCTAAGTGTCAAGAAGCCTCCAGCTATGAAAGAAGCCAATCCTATATATTTCTGCCTTTGCTAAGAGATATAAGACACCAGACTAGCTCCTTCTTGTTTCAAGTACCATTTCATGCTTACAGCTGAAGGTAGCATTCAGAATATGTAGTGTAAGCTGAAGTTCACTGTAATAAAAAGTATGAACTCTCAAAGTGAATGTTTTTTTAAACATGTCATGTGAGCATTTGTAAGACAATTAAGGCTGACAATAGAATTCATAATCCATCCAAATAAACAAGTACTTCTAATGTGTCTTTTTCTCTCAAGCAATAAATAAAAAGCTCAAAATGTGCAGTTAATGTTTTTACTGTAAAAACAAGTGTTCCAGCATTTGTGATTTAGTAATATTTTGTTTAAAATGCTCTGTTACAAATGTATTACAGTTCATGCTCACCTAAACCCTCTGGAAGGAGACTGGATCGACAGAACCAGATGACTACTTGTGCGTACAAAGAAATGAGGCTAGTTACCACCTGCTTATTTGTCAAGTCTGTAGAACCTGAAAAATGGCAGAAGATTTATTTTTATTATGCCATTCCTTTCATTCTTACTAAACTAGCATCCTAAATAGACAGTCTAAAAATAACGGTAAAAATCGTTGTATTTTTCACTCTGTAGCACTCCATTATATTTGTTTTGGTGGTGATTGTGGGTTTTTGCTTTAAAGAAGAAACTTTGAAGCAAACCCTAGAAAAAAAACAAACTCACAGAAGGTTAAAATATAATACAAAGCCTCAACTATTAAATACCCTCAACCAAAAAGACAATTCTTTCCATATAGCAGTGATTTTTTTTACAGCAAAGGGATACTCTTTCCCCCTGCCCCAATGTCAAGAACAACTGACAATATAAAAAGCTACAGAAATTCAACTTGTGCTTCCTATTTTTTAGCCATTTGCAATATATTTGCACACATTTATAAATCGCTAAGAATTAAAAAGAATAATTTTCAGCATTACCCCTTTCAGTTCCTGCGTCTTCAACCCAGTTCCCTGCATAGCTTCTTGCTGAATGCAGCCTCCCCTGCCCACTTGTGTGAACTCCACAATTTCCCTGAACTTGATGCATGTTAAGCAGCAGACACAACTTCTCCAATTTAAGCCTCTTCTCCCAGCTAAATCTGTCTTCCAATCATCAAACCCAAAAGCTCATGTTTCCACAATTACAACCCAAGCATAATACCAAAACTTAATAAACAGTACCAGAAATTTAGCAATGCTATTACCAACCTTTTTCAGTCAGCTCTCGTGCTTCTGTTAGAAAACAGTTTAAGACGGTGCTAAGGTTGCTCAAAAGCAACTGGCAGTGCTGAAGAGACTGTAACGTCTGCGGGTCGATGAAGTTGCAAGAGCCATCAAACAGTGGAACACCTTTTCAAGAATAAATATTACATCATTAGCCTACAGGGCAATTTCAGAGTTCCAAAGTACACTCAAAGAACTGCATGCTTCACCATACCAACAGATTATTGAATAAGCTCAATTAGGGAGAATGATTTTATGTTTGCAGAATTACTACACTAGTACTCACATATTTGATCAAATTCATCTTTTGTATAGATCACTTTGTTCCACGTCCACTCAAGAACAAACCGTAAATTAGCAGCAGAACTTGGCTGCTCTTTAAAAAAAAGAAAACAAAAAAGAAATGAATCAACCATTTCAAACTCAAAGTATATATAACATAAAAACAACATAAGAAGTATTACCTTCAGATGTCCAATGTTTAATGCATCCTGTCAGAAGTTCTAAAGAACCTGTCTGAACAGCAGCTGACAATATTGCTTCTAACTGCTCCTCCTAAACAGAAGAGACAATAAAACTAGACTCTTACATGCTTTCATTATCTGAAGTATCAATAGTGTTTGTTTCTAACTGTACACTCCATCAGACATCCCAAAGTCAATTAGTACACATGCAACTAATTCCATATTCTCTTAATTCTAGCCACAGGCTAGACTACTTGTTAGTCTGAGGAAGGAAGCCATTTAATTTTTCCTCTGACATTTCAATTTACTGAAGGCTAATTCTAACCTTTATTTGCACACCTCTGCATTATACTCTTAATTTGCTGAGTTCCAATGAACTATTATCAGCAACATCCTCTGCCAATATCCATCACCCGTTTTGTGCATCTAACTTTGCCACCAGGAATGCATGATGAGGACACAACAAAGACAACTATACAATGCTGGTCAAGTAGATTTCTAGACTATAAAGACATGAAGCAGTTCTGACATTCAAAGTGTTAAGTTATTATTGTCTAAAATTACAGTACAGTAGTGGAAGATTTACATTCTGAGTTTAAATTTCTAGCTGTTCAAATACTGTATTAGAATGCATTGGCAAGCCTTTAGAAGGATAATGCACAGACAAGGTATTACGTAGTAGCTTATTTCAGCTGGTGTTCTGATACTTCTTTCAGGTGAAATGATCCTTCATAAAAAGTCACTTTTTTTGTTGGTTGTTTTGTTTGTTTTTCTAAAACACATTCAAAATTACCTTCCTCTTCCAGGTAAAATCATTACACTCAAAGCTATTTCTACACATTTGTGTTTCCACCTTTTTCTGAAAATACACCAAATACTACTTATCGTGCCAAACAAAACTCCAAACCAAGCTTCTTGACCCTATTTCTGAAACTGCCTCGCTACCATTCAAAAGAAATCCCTGCTCAAAACAAAAGTCTCTGAACAATATGGTCACAATTCAGCAAGGGTTATTAGAAAATATCTTGCTTTCCCAAGTTATTTCCAAACCGGAGTTGACAGCGGAACATCTAATTTGAATGTAAGAGTCTACATGAGGCTTTCAAAACAAAGAGTCTACATGCCAAAAAATTAGTTTTGGCTACCACACTGCGCACAAGTGCTATTTGCCTTAAAATATTTCCACAAATCTGGTGAAGAATCCAGCAGGCAGCAAGAGGAAGGCAGTGGGAAAACAGCTGTCCCCTCCCTACGAATTGCTCCACTGTATGATGACTAGCTAGCTGATCATTTAGCTTAGATCCTGCCCAAATGGAGATGTGCCGTTCATCACAGAGGATTCGGATCCAAACAGCATCTCGCGAATCTCTTCACATGAGAGAGGGAGGATGGGGCACTGCAAATGGAAAACCTATAACAGAGGAGGGTTTAAAGCAGATAAAAGGTAGCCAGTGTCACAAGTAAAAGGTGACTGAGGTGCGGCAGCAACCAGAGGGCAGTCTAGGAGGAGTAAACTGGGCTACTGTAGCACAAGACAAAGGTGAAGACCTGCTTTGAGAGGCTGTAGAGAAGCCTACTGACGATGGGACAATGAGCGGCAACAGTGACGGACCTGTCAGGTAGAGCTGACAACAGCAATTGTTTACCACAGCCCACCTCCTTGGAAGCCAGTGATCATGAGCAGTGCAGCAGGCTGATGTTTGCAAGAGCTCACATCCGAGTGAGACACCCCCATCATCGGGTACTGTGCTGATCCCTATGCTCACTCTGAGAAACTGGGGTGATGAAGGTTGTTCTGAGGGAAAGATGCTTTATGCTGTGCATGACCAGCGCTGACTGCACGCAGCCCTGTGTGTCTCTGTGGCGCAGTTAATAGATAGGTCTCTAAAAACAGATCTATTAGGGCTGTTTCCAGTCAAACTCAGTAGTTTGAATCTAAGAAGACTATTAATCCTGCTAACAGAAGTTGATACCTGCATTTCAACACATGCATTCTGCTGGAGAAGCTGGTGGCTCATGGCCTAGCCAGGTGGACTCTTGGCTGGGTTAAAAACTGGATGGATAGCCAAGCACAGAGAGTTGTGGTGAACTGAGTTAAATCCAGTTGGAGTCCAGTCACGAGCGGTGTCCCTCAGGGCTCAGTTTTGGGACGAGTCCTGTTTAGTATCTTTATCCATGACCTGAGTGAGGGGATCAAGTGCACGCTCAGTAAATGTGCAGATGACACTAAATTTAGTGGGACTGTTGATCTGCTTGAAGGTAGGAAGACTCTGCAGAGGGATCTGGACAGGCTGGAGCAACGGGCTGAGGTCAGTTGTGTGAGGTTTAACAAGGCAAGTGCTGGGTCCTGTGCATGGGTCACAATAACCCCAGAGAACACTACAGGCCTGTGGAGGAGTGCCTGGAAACTGCCTGGTGGAAAGGGACCTGGGGGTATCGGTGGACAGTTGACTGAACATGAGCCACCAGTGTGCCCGGGTGGCCAAGAGAGCCAACAGTATCCTGGTTTGTATCAAAAATGGTGTGACCAGCAGGAGTAGAGAGGTGATCATGCCCCTGTACTTAGCAGTCGTTTGGAACACGGTGCTCAAGGTATGGTCAGTTTTGGGCACCACAGGGTAAGAAGGACACGGAGGTGCCGGAGCTGGTCTAGAGAAGGGCAATGAGGTGGGTGAGAGAGCTGGAGAACATGCCTTAGGAAGAGCAGCTGAGGGAACTGGGGTTGTTTAGCCTGGAGAAGAGGAGACTGAGAGGAGACCTTACTGCTCTCTACAACTACCTAAAAGGAGGTTTTAGTCAGGCTGGTGTTGGTCTCTTCTCCCAAATTACTGACGATAGGATGAGGGCAAGTGGCCTCAAGTTGCGCCAGGGAAGACTTCGATTAAATATTAGGAAGAATTTCTTCACTGAGAGAGTGGTTAGGCACTGGAATGGACTGACCAGGGAGGTGGTGGAGTCATCATCCCTGGAGGTGTTCAAAAAATGAGTGGATATGGCATTTGAAGCTATGGTCTAGTGGTTAGGGAAATGCTGGGAGGAAGGCTGGACTTGATGATGCTGGAGGTCCTTTCCAACAATGGAGATTCTATGATTCAATGTAACTTGCAAACAATATGAAAATCAGATTACCATCTGATGTACCATCTTGTACCTCTACAGCCCTGTCAGACAAGATGGATGTATTTCCCCCTTGATTCCCTGATAGGTACTCACCCGACTCAGGCTGGATGGTTGGACATCAACTAGCCTTGGAGACAGCAAGCCAGCTACAAGACACCTATTGTAGCTATCGTGAATGGCTTCACTTATTGAAGGACCAGATTTCTTCAAAAAATTCAAGGTCTGAAACATCAATCAAAAATTTCAAATTAAGGCAGCAATATTATTCAGTCTGGTTCTGGACAACCACTATGAGAAATAATACAAATGTTCACTTAAACTGTCAGGAAGTTTGCACCAGTAATATGCTTTAGGTTAGCAATATGAATAAGCATTACGATGTAGAGTCTTAATGATGGCACCCAAACTAACACCTACACTTTACTTAAAAAAAAAAAAATCCTGTAAAAAAACACTTCAGCCTTTGCAATGCTTATTTTCTAGCTTCTCTGTCAATACATAGGACTCCTTCTCCCTGAACACTGACACAAAACACATTCTATATAAGCTTAAACTAATACACAACTTTAAATCACACTTAAGAACTTTTCTATGCTTGTCTGTGCAGAAGCCAATTTATGTTGGCAATATTTACTGAGCTGAAATTTAATTCAAAATTATTTGTCACAATCTGTGCAAGTGTCTCAGAAGTTAAAATGTGGCCAAATTTGGGTGAAAGTTTTCATTTCTTCTAAAATAGCTCAAGAATTTTTTCCATTGCCTTCATTCCAATCCTCCCTTTTCAAGTTAACAGGGACCAAAACCTTAACTCAAGACTACACAGGCAGTTCAACTGATGGGTGATAAAATAGCAATAGCTTTCCCTGACTTGCACAACATTTTTGTTCTTGCTCCAAAAGCAATGTTATACTTCTTTCTAGACATTCAATCCCTGCTCATGCTTCAATAGGACATAACAGTAATTTCACAGACCCGAGCGCAGATCTAATTTGCCATTTGCACAGAACTGGCAGCATACAATTGCAATTATGCATGTGGATGCACAGGATGAGTGTGAAATGGTCTCTGACACTGAAAGCAGTGCAATAGAAAACCTAGGAAAGGTCCATCTCTTGATGTTCTCAGTAAAGATGCAGCAAAAGATTACCTCCTTCTGGAAGCCGGTGCAAGTCATATGAACCACTCCCGAGTTCAGCAAGCACGTACCATCTGCAGAAACAATGAACGTCTGACAACCTTCCATACTCTGACACTTACATTATCACCAGTTTACAGTTTTTAAATGGCAATATCTGGAAAGAAATAACCGAGTACCCATTTTCTTCATCAGATCACCTACAAACTTTTAAACAGAAAACAAAAAAAGTCCAAAACAAAACACCACACAACAAAACTGTTGTGTGTAGAAATTTTATCTCTAGTGCTATCCAGGTGCTGTGCTTTGAGCTTCACTTCAAAGTCATTTCATTTTATGACCACCACCACTTCACAGGCTACATTACAGAAGAACCAAACCTCAAAACTCAGCGGGCTGTCAGATGTGTTTCACAATATTAAACACCTTGTTAGTACAACATAATCAGAGGTGGGTTTGGGGGATTTGGGGCTTTTTCATTTGGTTTTTGAGTGAAAAGCAATGAACAAGAGAACTAACAAATGCCATCTGATGTCAATTTAAGCTTATCCCTATTAAAAGCAGTGAAATACCTACCAAAATTATATGTGCTTGGATTAAAAAACTGCTCAGGTGGCGGATAAGAAGGAGGAACTCCCCGACTGAGACTCCGCTCATGTACCAGAATATCCAAAATGAGGTTTGGAGAAGTCATGCTTATTACAGTATCCAGTGACCACAACGCAAAATAGGGGCAATCATGAAGGAATTCTTCTGGCCTTAAGAAAAACAAGTGCATAAACTTAAATGCCAACTTTCAAATTAATTATTAGTAGGGATACTGAAAACAACTTAATAAAAATCTACCTTAGTGAATCTGGCATTTGAGCGTGATACCAGCGATTAATGTCAAATACACCCAAATAAGTAGATGGTTTTCCCTGACCATATGTATTCACTTGCCAACTGAAGATTGATACGCTGGTGTCAGGAGATATTACTGTAAAAGACAAGACATTGTTTCTCATTTATAGAAAATACGATATAGCTGACATCTTGAAAAGACCACTTGCGACTTTGGCTTAATTCTGTTACATCACTCTTGAAACATAACACTTCCTAAGAATGATTAAAAAAAAAAAAAAGCAGCAAACATCTGAGATTGGTTTCAGTCATAGTGGCCTTTTTTCTTTTTCAAATTGTACCAGTTCTTAGCGAAATGAGAGACAACTACTAGCTAATTAAGTTTTCCATACAATAAGAGTTGACAAGACATTTAGCTAGATGAACAGCTAAGCAAAAAAAGAATATGCTAGAACACATACATAGCTACTTTTCTAAAGCATACAAATAATTACTGCATACACTTGCATCACTCAGCTGGTATTATTATCTTCCAGATTTGACTCAATTACATGTTTTAAGAATAGCTCATTTCCAGTATATTCAGAATGAAAGAACACAGTTATCATATGAAATGAATTTTTTTAAAAAAACTCAACAGGAAATTCAAATAAAGATTTTAGCATAAAACATTCTATGTTATACTCCAGCTGTCAGCAAGTGGAATGGTCTGCCTTCTCTGTGGACAATGCATTCTCTAGATCTAAGTACAGTATGTCACGTATCATCTACCCTACCAGAGAACAAGACCACACTATGTTTGGCAAAATGTTTCTCTGTTGAATTCATGGTTATCATTTAGAGGTCCTCACGCACTCTACTATGTTTCACTGTGAACTTCTGTGTCATTTCAGTTTTCTTAGCTGCTGGAACTGCTTTGGAAGGTACCAGTTATTTTCACCATTCAGAACACACCTTCATTGCTAACCTCAATACACACCAAACAGAAGCTCATGTGTCTTGAGAACTTGTAGATCCCGAATAAAAGCCACTTCAAAATCATCAGAAAAATTACAGTTATATCTCCATGTCTCACACTTCATACAAAGGACACAGAAAGGTTCTTTTGTTATTTTGTTTTTCAGATATGGGGGAGGGTTGTTTCCACCAAATTCTGAGAAGGCAGTCTCCTCAGAAACATGAAACAAGTTGAGAAAATCCAAAGACATTATCAGATTTTGCCACACTGTAATAGAGGATGGTGTAACAAACGAGATGGAAGTTGCTGCTTTGGGAACACGTCAAAGAAAATGATACAGAAGCAGCCTAGAAACATTAAACAAGTGTTGTCTCTGCAAAATCACACATAAGTTAAGGGTAGTAAGAAGAGAGAAAAGCTGAATAATGCAGCAGAAACAAAAGACTATGAAAGTTACCACTGCAGCAGCCTCAAAGATATGGTCAGAGCATAACTGTAATTTGTAAACCCAGAGACAGGCACTTAATTGCTGCAAGTTAATGAAAGACGCCATAGGAGTTTTAACCATGTATACAGACAAAGAAAGCTGTTTCCTTAGAAACCTGTAGATATAGGAAACTATTAGGTTTAGAAAGGAAAAAAATGGACAGGCAGTTAATGGAATCATATAATCAGTTAGGTTGGAAAAGACCTTTAACATCATTGAGCCCAACCCAACACTGCCAAGTCCACCACTAAACCATGTCCTTAAGTGCCACATCCACATGTGTTTTAAAATAGCTGCAGGGACACAACCAGTTCTTTGGGCAGCCTGTTCCAACACTTGTCATCCCTTCTGATGGATAAGTTTTTCCTACTATCACATCTAAACCTCTGCTGGTGCCATTTGAGGCTGTTCCCTCTTGTCCTATCACTCATTACCCTGGAGAAGACATCGACCCCCACCTCACTACAACCTCCTTTCAGGTAGCTGTAGAGGGTGATAAGGTCTCCTCATGTGCATCTTTTTCTCCAGGCTAAACAACCCCAGTTCCCTCAGCTGCTTCTCAGAAGACTTGTTCTATGGACCCTTCACCAGCTTTGTTGCCCTTCTATGGACACATTCCAGCACCTCAATGTCCTTCTTTTACCGAGGGGCCCAGAACTGAACACGATATTCAAGATGCACCCTCACCAGTGCTGAGTCCAGGGTGACTATCGCTTCCCTCATCCTGCTGGCCACACTATTTCTGATACAAGCCAGGATCCTGCTGGCCACCTTAGCCACTTGGGCACACTGCTGCCTCATATTCAGCTGGCTATCAACCAATACTCCCAGGTTCTTTTTCACCAGGCAGCTTTCCAGCCTCTCTTCTCCAAGCCTGCAGTGTTGCATGGGGTTGCTGTGACTCAAGCGCAGGACCCAGACCTTGGCCTCACTGTTCACACAACTGCCCTCAGCCCACTGATCCAGCCTGTCCAGATCCCTCTGCAGAGCCTCCCTACCCTCGAGCAGATCAACACTCCCACCCAACTTGGTGTTGTCTGCAAACGAGGGTGCCCTTGATCCCTCGTGCAGATCACTGCTAAAGATGTTAAACAGAATTGGCCCCACCACTGAGTCTGGGGAACACCACTTGTGACCAGCCACCAACAGGATGCAGATACAGACATAGGTTTGAACAAGGGAAAAACAACACAGGTAACAATCCTAAGCAATGAAGAAAATTATCTTATTGTTAATAATAATACAGTTGGAGGGATAAAACAACTGACCAGCATTCTACAGATGGCCCAACCATACAACACTAGAGCATATCAGCAAGCATAAAATAAAAAGTTGTTTTTTTCCTTGAAGAAGTCCCACAAAGTAAGCACACAACTTTTCATTTTAAATAAACCCAACAAGCTAGTCTATATAGATATTTAAGACTTTCAGTCAGCAGATTCCAAACCCATTAATTTGAGAACAAACCTTCATTAACGCTATCCTCTCTGTCAACATGGTTGCGAAATTTTTCTACAGTCTGACAGCTGAGTAGCTTGGTATTGCTGGTTGGTCCTCTCAAGGGGAAGATTCCACCTGTGAGATCTAAGCTGTACCTTTCGTCACAGTATTCCAAACCCTGGGGAAAAAATAAAAGGACAGAACATGTCATTCTGAGGTAAAAACATACATTCTACCTAAATACAAAAAAATGTACATATTACACATACATATATATTATACTGTGTCTTTCCCATTAGCTTATTTCTGACTGCAAATAGGAACGTCAGATGTACAAGAGAAGAATTAGGTGTCAAATCATAACAGACAAGTTTTGCTGCAAAGAAAAAAAATTAGTGTTTCCCTAGCTAAGATCTGCTCTGAAGCATGCACAATCCATTCTCTTTATCAAGTAATTTGGCAATAACAGACAAGCACAGAGTAGATAAGAAAAATTAAAAAATCTCTTTGAAAAGCTAGCGTGAAGCCTACACAAAGAATCTCATTTTTACTGTAGAATTAATAATCAAACAATTTTAATAAAAGATGTCCTGAGCAAGAAGTCCACCATTCCAAAAGACAGTTTAGCCAAATAAAGTATTAAGACTCCATAAACCTCTCAGAGATTCATTTCAACAGCTAGAAATTCCAACTTCTATTCATATATGAAGAGCTGGTCCCCCAAAAAGCTGGGGCAAAGGGGAAGGGGAAAAGAATATAAAAAAATTCCTGCCTAAGAATAATTCTCAAACGAGACAGTGTATTTTAAATTTCCCACATTGGGACAAGCAAATCAACATTAAGCAACTCCATTAAATGAAAGATATTGAGTACTGACTTTATTGACCAGTAAAATAAGATGACCATTTTCAAGTGACCATCTCTGTCCATCTCTAAGCCTCGTGTAGGACAAAGGTAAAGATGTGCTCCATGACCATGGTCTGATGTACTAGATTTAGCAACTGCTAGGATGGTATAAAAAAGACCTTTGAAAGCATGGCTGAAACATATCTTTCTGTTTAATTACTTAATTACAGACTTAAACCACCCTTGAAGGCAATGAAGACAAGTTTGACACATATTTATGAAGAGACAGCGCCACATGTTCCAAAAGTCCTATTTGTGACTTTTTACCGAGACACAAAGTCAAAGATGCACTCTCTCATAGACTCAAGTCTGATTCCTGCAAAGTAAAGCACTGCTGTAGTAGGCAAGTCTTTCAAGGTCCTATGAACTCTGTCCAAAGATCAAGGGTCAGCCGTAGATTCCTCCTTGTCTACTCAAACTTGGCCTGGCAACTGGGACCAACTCTTAATTTTCTGCCACAAAGATGGACAAGAAATGGGACCTCAATCAGCCATGTAGGCAGACAGTCATGTAGTACTGACCAACCTGTGACTGCAAGGAAGTGTTCTGAGATGAAGAGTGTCCACTGTAGAGTAGATATCCTGTCCTAATGCATCCCCTAATAAATTTGGGGTTTGGGAGTTGTTTGGCAGTTTGATTTTGGTTTTTTTTTTGGCAGCAAGTGTTATCAGGTGCTGGTATGAAGCTACATGTGTAAGTGGCTCATCTGGAAGCTGGCTGAAGAACCTGTCTTTGTCTTCCCAAAGGGTCCAGCTGTTTAGGTCTCTTCAACTACCTCGAACAGGAAGCAATCTGACAATCTTCCACAACACTCATCACAGGGCAGCAGAAACAGCAGAGGCGCAAAAGATCTCAAATCCAGAGACTGGTGCCTGACATCTAGAAGCCTGTGAATGTGTTACTGGTTGCATAGTCTGGAGAGGGTTAAAAGTCTCACATGAACTACACCACAGCCCCCTCAGGTCACAAACACATTAATCACTTTGCATTGTTTTGTAAAGAGCATCAACTGGAACTTCTAGTAGACCCATTTTTAAAGGGTGATGAAACATTTCAACGCTCTGAGGTAAGAACTGACACTCAGCACATCTTATTCAGGAAAATAAGATGACCAAAACAAAGAATTGCTGAATAGTAAAAAGTTCTATATTTTAACATTAAAGTGTTGAGACAGAACGAAGTAGCCACAAGAGAAATGGATACAGGCAACTGCTTTTTTTTCCTCCAGAGAAGCACACAGTACAAGGTACTGTCTTTGCCATTGCTAAGACTGTAGCTGATAATAACTTTTGAAAGAGTATAAAACAAAGCAGAAGTTCAAAAGTGAAACTGGAGGAAGATTAAAGAACCTTTCTGCTACCAACCTGCCAAAGTGCCTAGAGCACTACAAGAGATGCAGAAGTGTACTGCAAGCAAAAGCCCTTTTAAAATTAGGAAAAACAATCAGGGTGCTCTGTTCCTCTAGAGCATTATATATTTATATAATAAAAAAATGCACATCAAAAAGAGATGACATCCATATTTAAAGCACACTGAATTACCTGAAAATATTTCTATTTTTTCCCAAACACTTAACCTTTACTTATTCAAAAGCAACACTTAAAAATGAAGTAGGAGTTTTCCTATGAAGAACGGTCAAAATGTTAACTCATTCAAAAAAATAAAATCAAAGCACACAGGCTCTATATAAAAACAGAGTACCACAATACAAGAATCACACCCCTATTTCATTCCATACCTATTTGAGAATATGTAAGAGAAAAGTATCAAAATAGGAGGAAAGAATTGCTCTGAACTAAGATTACTTTCCTCTCAGATTTTGGAAGAGTTCCAAGCATATTACTGAATAGAATTAATTATACATGATACAGATCTATCTTATGTCTGTTAGATATGAGATATCATGATACCTCATCTGTATTTTAAACACACCTCTGCAGCCAGTTCTGAAGATTTATGTATACTCTTCTGACTGAATCATACCACTGCTTACTGTACATTTATGTATTTTGCTGGCTTTAAGAGTCAATTTCACATCTAATCCAGCCAAAAAAGTAGAAAGAGTTATCTTTATAGCTACTAAGTTTCAGGATCAAAATTAAGAAACATTATCAGCACATTTCGCTTGAAGTCCAGCTGGCAGAGCTCAAAAGAAGAACAAGAATATATAACCAAAGATCAGGGAAGAAGAAAGCTACATGACTGTAATTTACAAAAAAATTACAGAAGCTTATTCAAGTATGCAGTCTGGTTAAACAAAGCTATTCAAAGCCCTATCTTCTCTTCCTACACGCCACTGATTTGGTGTTAAAATTAAGACCAATTCTATTTGTAAAAGCTGCCTCCTCTTCAGGAACTGAATTTGTACGGGCTCTTTGCAGATGCACATACTCAGAACACGTGACACTGCCGTATGAAATTGTATGACTCGTTTCCCAGAAGTATGGAAAAAGGCCATGCCTAAGACGACAAAGCAAAAGTTTTTTTTGCTTTCTAGTCAGCTCTGAATTTTGATGGTAAATAGGAGTCCTGCAAACTTAACTTGATCGTCTTGTAGAGCATATTACTATTTTCACCTTTTCACATACGTGTCTTACCTCGTACATGACTTGTCCTGATGCCAAGCGTTTTCTGTCACCAAATGCTAACTGCAGCAGATGTAAACTCACAACATCACCTTCACTGGAAAAGGTATAAATTATGAAATTTGATTACAAAGTTGCTTTACAGTAATCTTTTTATTTGAACTACACTGAAAATTTCTTAGTAGCATGCTCTTGAAAAAAAAGCCAAACACACCAACCAACCCCCCAAAAAACCCGAAAAAACAGCCAACCAAACAAACCAAAAACCATTGCTTCCCAAAACTTGGTCATATGTAGCTGCTAAAACACAAGCAAGGAAGTTTTGACACTAGCAACTTCATGGGCAAACGCTACCCATACAATCTGGAAGCTTGAATGTTGTATAGACTGAAAATTGTTGGAAATAGTTCTTCACCCTGGAGAGTTCTTGATCAAACTTGCTTTCATGTCAACCTCAAGAAAAGACTGCTACTTTATGAACAAATGAGCTGGTTAAATACTTCTCTGATGCCAAGGCATCTTTCTCCCCCTTTCTTTCCCACTCAAGTTCCAGTCCCTCTCTTGCATGCACTGCACCCTTCCACAGTCTGGTGTGATCCATTACACAGCAGGAAGCCATTGACTTTTCTGCCAAGCAGTGATCATTTTCTGCCACACAAATTGAACTGGCTCACGAAGGCTCCCAAAACTGCTGAAATTGGCATGAGGTAAGAGCCAATACTCTCACCTCCCTCCTTTAGGGACAGCAGGCTATTTTATCAGCATATGTAATGATCTACATCTGCTGCCTCAACCACTTTTAATGGTATTTTAATACCAAGCTGCAAATATGAAGCAAATCATGAAGCAGGCATCAGGAAACAAAAGGAAATTATTTAAGAATGCAAGCACCAACATATAAAGCCATTGCTGCTTTGCCTTCTTTCAGAAGGTAGAAGCTAGTAGGTCCCTCTTCACATCTGTTAAATCCTGCAAAAACTGCATTGTAAGCTTAACACCTTCTGTACCTACATCTCCTTAACAGCTAAATAAATACAAATACACATGTATCAACTGTATGTGAACAAGTATTCAAAAAAAATAAATCAGTGGCTTATAGTAAGCTTTTATTCACCTTTCTTGTGTAGACTGAACAGCCCACAAGTAGCAACAATTGCGAGGATCATTCTCAGGCTCTTGAAAAGTGACAGCATAGACAGGAATCCTTCCTCCTTCAAGCTGAGAGTGGTGCCTGCAGGTTTAGAAAAAAAAAAGAAAGGTGAAAAAAGCTGAGTATTCTACTGGCTCTAACTGTTTGTAGAAGGGTAAAAAGCATCTTCTGAGAAAAGAGCACCTGACATGCTTATTGCCAAATTACAGAAGATCATACTTCTATCTCAAACAAGTGAGTCAAGGAAGCGACTACTTTCTATCCAACAGCCAAGAGGTGAGGAAGTTACTGTCCACCACATGCAATAACCTGGGTTTATGTCCACCTCTGCCTGAGGAGGAGCAGCAACATAAAGGATCACTTCAGCTGCCAGGCAAAAGATTGCTCCTACTGTTGTAGCCCACTTCAATACTGAATTTAAAATGCATATCTTCTGAACAAATTTTAAAAAGCACCAAAGAGAAGTAATTTCTCTTCTCTTTATTTGGACTATGTAAAACATTTTTCTTCCAGACTTGTGAACTTTATTTGTACCTTGACAATCTGTTCTCACCACCTAATTATTCGTATTCCTCCACTGTCTATTTATGCATCCAGTAGTTTCTGGTGAGTCACTGCAGATCTGCTTAAGTGAATCTCTATCTAAATTGGGTCAAATATTTCAAGCGAGATTGCTCTTTGGCAAGCTTAAAATTATCTCTTAATTTTTCTGTTGCTTATAAATTTACATGTCCCTTACTTTCATCTCCAAGTGTTCCAAGCAAAATCTAATCCACATGCATCACTGCCTTGGAATGGGTCAATCCACTATTTCAGTCAAGGCTGAAATGTAGGAAAGACATCTTTTCAGGCAGAGATCAGCTATTGATTGTTTACATCTCACTAGTTTCATCCTGGACACTGAAGAATATTATCACCAAAATCACACTACTAACAAATGTACAACTCATGCCCTAATTGCAGTAACTGCTTCTGAAAATTAATTTCTAAAATCTATTTCATCAAAATATGCACATTTCCTGGGTGCACTGAATACTATGGATAGAACAAACTCTCACAAACAATCAGCTCTATGACACCCTAACTGCTTGACAGAACCCAAAGGAGAACCCTTTCCACAATTCCTCAATCCATTGGTACAATAAAGGAAACACTCCTACTCCAGCGGGGAGAAGGTGGTCCACTTAACCCATGTATGACTTAACAGTTACTTCAGAAGAGGATTTCTAAACATTCTAAGATGATACTCACAGCTTCAGTCCCTGAAAAAGTTCTCTTTAAACTAACATGAGTAAAAAACTGAGACACCAACACCTCCAGCCATGGTCAAAAAAGCCTACTTACTCCCTTTTCAAAGTCTTCATATTCCATAGGGACAGGTAGCCATCTGAAAAACCCACAACGAGCTGATTGCTTCTGCTTATATAGCACAGGGCTGATACAGCTGTTCCTGAAGGATTTTGTAATTGAAAACAGAGGTGTCTCCCTTGTCTGGTCACATTTTCTCTTCTTTGTGGAACTTCAACAGGAATTCGAGTGACAACTTCCAGATCTACACACAAAAAAACCCACACAATAAATGAATGTGTTAAGCCATTTGGGTTACCTTTTAAATACTGATGTGACAACACAGAATCTAATTCCATAAACACAGGCAAAATATCCATTTCTGTGACACTTCTTTTCCTATTGCCATTTTGTATGTTTTCGAAGAGCAGAAGAACTCTGATTGGACAGGTATTCTCTCTCCTATCTCAAAACCAGGTGAAAGTGTAACTTTCATAAAATAAATTACTCTTGTACTTTGTAAATGAGGAGTTTGGGCCTCATGATGAAGCTGTCTGAAGTGGCATCAACTGCTGAAGCAACTGCTGCAACAGCCAAACAGTCTACACAATTCTCAATACACAAATCAGAAATTTCATTTGTGCAAACACTTGATTTCTGATAAGACAGATTTATTTTATAAAACAAGCCTAAAATTTGCCCCAAGTCAATTCACAGAATCAGAAGAACATTCCCAAGAAACAAACACCTCAGGCAGGTGCACTGACTTGGATGGTAAAATTCCCACACCTGACCAACAAGAATCCTAGTGACGTAGGGATCGTGGTACGAGGGGGGCATTTACAACATCAGGAGTACTAAGCCACTCCTATTTTTAATGAGTTCAGGACAATAGGATTTCAAACCACCATCTGTAATCAGTAGTCATAAATGTCTATACACGGGTATCTTCAAAGTGGCACGCATATTTTTAAATTCAAGTCTAAAAAAAATGCAACCTCACCTGATGCTTCTATTTCATTCTGACTGCAAGATAGATCATCCAAACAAAGGTCAACCAGAAGCAGATGACCAACATCTGTAGCCACTGCTGCCACTCCAAAGAGCCATCGCAGGCTCTGATGTAGGTGCCGCGTGCTCACACTCGCTCCCCCGTGATTCGTTATGGGTTCTATGGCTGTTACCTACAGGAAAACTGCAAGTTAACGTTTGTTTGACAAGCTAAACAAAAGTCATGCACAAGTGAAGCCAGAATTAGCACATCAGAAAACAGAAAATAAATACAGGATCAGAAGACTTAAAAACAAAACACTGTTTTCAATTATACCAAGAAAAAAAGAAAAAAAAAACAACTGTTAGCACCTTCCATCCCATGTATTTCCTACTCTTACTTACTTACATTACCTTCAGCTTTATTAAACGGTGCATTCTGTTATTACAGCTTGCCAATTTTTATCTGCTACTTAGAAATAATTAACTCCAAGAAAACACCAAGTCCATTACAGGCAAGAAACTTTATCATATTTAAGGGACTTAAGTAAGAAACACAAAACTAAATATAGTTCTCCCACTGCTCACAGCCCATCAGCACTGCAATACAGTCCATGCCTTCTTTGCCAAACGGGTATTAAGATAAACCATGGCTGCAAGTCAGATGAGACAGCAGTCAAGTTGCATGGCAGACACCCCATTTCCATGGGAATGAAACATTTAGAAAGGGTTAAAAGGGAGGCACTAGCTTAGTAAAATTTACACTAGCCCTCATTTAAAATAAAAATAGCAACCAGATGCAGTAAGCAAAGCTTAAAAATGCACACCAGTACTTTTATGAATGTCAACAAAAATTTTAAAAGCCAGCTGGAAACAACGGCAAGAACAGCAGGTTGTTAGGTAAAAAGCTAACTCCAGGTGAGGAAGAAGCCCACACTGCTCTGCTCTGGAACATGTGAATCAGTCCCCTGGCAGCTGCACAACAAGGTGCAGACAGACCTTTCAGCACCTGCAGCACAGCCCAGCACAACACTGAGGCCATGGCACAGGCAGAGGCACACAGACTCCTGCGCTGAGGCTACACAACAGAAGACGACAGGCTGCCCTTCAGCTGCCTTGGAAAATGCCACACAACAAGAACAGGAAGCTTCACTTCAACAGCAAAGTTTCACATGAAAATAAAGAACTGAGCATCACAAAGAGTCTTTTTTTTTTTTTCCCTTCACCTCGAGAGGTAGGGAAAAATAACCAAGCCCCTAAGCCTCAAAGTCTTGCCCCCTCCCTTATCAAGCACCTGCTATGACTACACTGCCTAGCAATCCACTACAGAATTTACCCTTCATCTTGGTCACAACAACTCTAAGCTTAAAATTACCTATAGTAACTTAGACAATTTAATTTTGTTTAGGACTTAATCAAATTGAATTTGCAAGCCTCTCTGCTACTCACAGGACCGTCAAAAGCATTTTGATTGTTCAGATTCTTGCTGCTCCAAGTCCTGCTGACTGTGACAAGGACAGCAGAAATACTGAACATATCTTGCCGCAGAACTAACCAAAGTTCAAGTGTTGCTTCCAGCTTCTTTTTCTAAGATTTTTTTGTTGTTGTTGTACTTCAAATGATTCTTTTCTATTTTTTCAAAGTCTTCCAAAAATGTTTCCCAGTTTTAAAACTTCAGTTTTCCACAGAAGCTCCTGAAACTGCGTAGTTTTCCACTGCACTAGACACTGGCTTTTCATATTCTCCTAGACTACTGCCAGCTCATTCTGGGGATGAACAAAGGAAACTCTTCTCAGCTCACTGAATCTGAATGCTACTCTTCTGCCTCATACAAACCAGGAAAATTTGTGAAAATACTGTTCAATAGTTCTGAAACATACAACCGTTATAAACCAATTTAATATAATCAATGTTTTTAATTCAGATTTGCTTTTACTAGAATCCAATTCAAATAATACTCCATTACCATTTTCAGTTTGCTGCTGGATTTCATATGTATATCCAGAGGGCAATGACAGAGATGCTCCCATAGGGGAAAAAAAAAGAAAAAAATTATGCCAAAATTGTTTCTAAGCTTATGACTTTGGATTTTTTAACTCACACCTTTACTCTCTGAAAGACTACACACCTAACAATAAAAGGCAGTCAGAGTCACTAAAAACACCCTGTATTAATAAACTAATGGCCCGACACCTTGGACAAGAGTTACCCTAAATTAGTGCTAACCTGCACAACGTAGCTGTCCACAAAAGGTACACCTACACAGAAAACAGGCTGGAAATTCAGCCACTCACTAAAGCCTGAAAACAGTAACAAAAAAAACTGCAGAAAGTGATGTTAAGAACACATGTGCATTTTACTGTTAGAAATAAGCATTGTGAAAACTAGAGAAACATTCAGTGAGATTAAAAATACATATTATGTCATCTATAATTTGGAGTATGACTTACAGAATAAATTCAAAGCATACAGACAGTGGCCAAGTGCAAACTTTATCTGCTTGGTTTTGCTTACTCTTTCTCCCACTCACAATTTACAAGTTAGCAGTCCCACTAGCCATACCTGTGTCCTCTCTATGCTGATCCAATTAATCTCAGAACAAAAAGACATAAAGCAAAATGAAAGCAACAGACCAAACACACTTGTTGGCAAGAGCACATTCAGGGCATAAGAGCAAAACTTCACTTAAGTTTTGGCTTCATTCCAAAATTCATAACCTTCATCACACAACAGCAGTCAACTTTTCTCCCCAAGGCTTCTTCCAAGTCACTTTTTTTTTGTGGCATAGAAAAACTCCTTAATACAACAGATAACTACATTTGATTCCAAATTATTTCTGTAGACAGATTCAATATGTGGCACGATTCCTCTTAACCTTCCTTTTCCTATTCCCAGTTTACTTATATTGAAAAAAAAAAAAAATTGAACCAAGCTATGTCATTTTTCACAAACATAATTTACTTATTGGTTATAGGATTATGTCAGCACACAGCTTGCCTTTCCATCTAAAACTCTAGGACTTCTGAAGATGATCAGCAAACAGTGGAGCACCAACCCAACTCTATCTTTAGAAATCACCCCAGTACAAATCCTTACTACTAACAATCACACTCTAGCATCACAAACAGAACTCCACCTGTATTCTAGTAAGTCAAAACAAATCACATTATAGAAAGCTACTTATTTGTTGCAGATTCAAAGATAATAAAAATATAGTTAATCTTGATGCTCTAGTAACTCACACTGTTTCTTATTCACATTCAGATAATAAGACTAGAGGACACTAGATCATTTGAGTTTAGGGGTTATAGAAGGCATAAAAAAAAAATTATTAACATTATACCAGTGTATCCCATCTACAGAAACACAAAATTCAGTGAGCAGAGACATTCAAGGACTGCAGACTGAAAGTCAGTCCTTCAACAATCTGTCAGATAACTCAGTAAATGCTCTTTTTTCCTATCTTAAGTCACATAAAAATGTGTTCTGCTGTAACATCACCTGCTTGCCAGTCCCAGACACATGGGAATGTCTCTAGTCATTGACAGCACAACTATGGAAGTCTGAGATATTTTAAAGACAATACTTCTGTCAGAAATTAACTAGGAAATGTATGTTACATACACTTTAGAACAGTGGTGGGTTTTTTTTAATTTTATTTTTCACTCTGGCCAAAAAAAAAAATAGTTGTCAAAGTCTTTTTGTGAAAGTGGAGAACTATGTGCTTTACAAGAAAACCAGGAAACGCGTTTTACTAACGGTAAACTCAAAAGATAATGGTATGACTTTACATCCAGGCTCTCTTGATTGGGTACTCTGGAGAGACAGGATGCTAATGCAATACAGAAAAAACACCTAAAAAAGAGACACTCCAAAGCTTTTCCTGAAGCAGGACTACGCAGCACCCAACAACATAAAGGCTCTACTTATCTGATTTAAAAGCACCTACCCTTCCTGGGAGAATAACTGCTTTAACCACTCTTGATATGCCGAGGTCGTACAGACAGAGAACGCTTCCTTCTGCTTCTTCCAATCCAACCAGGAGCCCAGTCCTCTTCTGCCAGGAGAACTCCTTGACCACGCGGACGGCGGGAGGCTGCTCGGTGACGCCACTGAAGCGGTAGGCGGAGAGCCGCTCCCCCGTCGCAGAGCTCACCACCTCCAGCTGCGGCCCCCGCGCCAGCCACGCCAGCCCATTTCTCCCTGCGACAGACCACACAGCCAGCTAAAGCAAACTTCCAACAGAAGCCTGAAAAACTGCATTTCTGAATAAAATCACCACCCCTGTCCCTCTCCTTCAATAAAGGAAGAAGAGGAAGACCAATTTACCAAATTCTGGTCCATTACTTAAAATAAATTATCAAAATCTTCAAGCATTACATCTAAAAACAACCACCTTATTATTTTGCATTTATATTGTCATTCGTGCACTCAAGAATTCTCTGTTTGGAATAAAGATTATTAGTGTATAGTCTTTATATCACATTTGGCTAGAAATACTGATAGAAATCATCTAAAAACATAAGGGAAGAAAAGTCTCAAAGCAGACTTCAGATAGAAAAAATATGAACCAATTCTTTCCTACTTTATTAATTTTACTTGATACATGCCTACTTTGGGCAGGGATTTGGACTTCAACAAGAAATTATCGTAAAATGGGCACTGCATGAGTAAATTTAAACTTCTACACATGCTGATCACAGACAGAATTTTAACACATTTTGTTTCACTGAACTACTTCAAACTCAAAGGAAATACTACCTCAGTTACTGCATTTACAGTCATTTAGATAGATGCTACTTGGTCTTAGCAGAAGCCTTGACATCCAGACAGGCACCCATCTCTGCTCCCAGATCACCTAGAAAGTCAACTACCTAATCTGCTTAGCCACTTGCAGCAACTCTCACTGGGTACCCATCTGCATCCTATTAAACACTTTGGAAATATGGCTTAACAGCTCTTCCTTCTGTTTTCATTCAGACTAGAAAAGAGAAAGCAGGGAGTTTGCCTCTACAACACCATACAACTATTTCTGCACGTGATGTTATGATGTCATAGAGCTTGAGCTGGCACAAATAAATACGGCCCAAAACAAAACTATTGTTTTTGAAAACCTTTTATTTAAGTAAGAATTGAGGAGAGCTCACCGACTCAGCATGTTTAAAAAACCATTCTAATAGCACAAGATTGGTGCAGGTTGTTGTAATTTCAAAGCTTAACTAAACAAATATTTTAATATTAACATTTGTCATCCTTAAAACATCCTTTTTGTTCTCTTGAAACCTGATGCATCTTAACAGCACCACTCTGACACAGTTGATACTATGACCCTATGCTTCAAGTAACTTCCAGGACATAATAACTTTATACCAAGACTGAATTTAAAGGAAAATACTCACCTCCAGAAAACTTTCCGCTTAGCACAGAATCTAGAGTTATTTCATCTTCCCCAAGTGCCTGAGTAGTAACCTCTGGAAACTGCAGCAGACTGCTCGTTACCTGAGCTGTTAGGTCTCGCATTCTTCACTGTAAAGAAAAAAAAAAAGGCAAAAATTAGACTCACATCTGCCATAAACATTCCTGAGATTTGAAACATAAGTTCCACCACTATGCAGCAAACAGTCTCCTGTATGTTGCCCTGTAGCTATTTTCATTTAAAAAGTGGCACTCTGGATAGTTTCTGATCACACAGCAGGACAAAAGAAGAATCCTTCCCTTTTCTCACGCCTACAAGATCACTAACAAAAAGTCACACAAAGGTATTGGCAAGATAACAGGAAAAACTGCAAGCTTGTATCTACTCACACAGGTTAGTAGGATGCAACCTGAGAAAAATAATATTTTTAAAAGCTTCACAGTAAGAAGTCTAAGTTTCCATTTGTCCTTTCCCTTAATTTTATAGTTTTCTGTAGCTTTTAAACTGTCTTCTAGTAGACTTCACGTATCATTTTTCTTGTTCATTTTTGCATTTTTATTTTGAACATTAAGCAAAACTAAGTTCCTAACGCCCTTCATTCTCAAAATCTTCCAGAAAATGTACTGTCAATATTTTCACAATACAAGCAATACAGACTTTCATAGCTCATCAATTAGAAAGTAGTTTTCCATACACTTATAATGGAACACAGCACTTCCAAACACTGATTTTTTTTTTTTGATACTTGAATCCTCACATTCCTTATTCCAGTCCTTTCCTTCCTGTTGCCTCCCTGTATCACAACTCTGGAGTATTCTGCAAAAATTTCTAGGCCTTTCAGTTTCCGTACTTCTACAGGTGGTCCTCAAAGAGTTCACATTTCAAGTTCACATGTCAAGACAGATTTTTTTTTTTTCCCTCCCTAGGGAAAAAAAAGCCGAAATTATTTTTAGTTAACAAAAAAATATTTTTTTGTAAATAAGCACAGAGATGTCTGACAAACAAGTCTGCCTGGTTAGCACTTCATCATTAGCAATACCATGCACCACAGTAGCAGCAAGACAGTGTTCAGGAAAGGATGAACAAGTACATTCCAGCAGGGCAGGTAACAGCATTTAAGAAAACTTCTCCACTGCATACTCTTCATGAGTCACCCTGCCTTTGCCACCGCCTACCTGGATGGGCCAAGAGCACAGAACTTCAGGCAGCCAAGCTGAAAATCAGATTTTAAGATATTCTACCAGGGAGATTAGAGTTTAAAAACACATCCCTCACCACCCCAAAATCCCCACCAAATCAGCAAGAATTCTTGTCTGCTGGAAAGCTCACACCTCGACAGTGTAGTCCTGTCTACAGTACACATCAAGTGTGCTTACTGGTCCAATACCAGCAGTGAGAACCATCAGACAAGTAACAGTCCAATCCCTGGACCACTCCTGGAACTTTCCATTTGATCATGCTGCAGTTGTCAACTAGGCAGAAAAGCATGGAGCATCAGGCACGCCCAGGACTGCTCCAGTAAGCCAATGGGCCTTCTACACCACCGTTTTCTAGCCATCTGGCTTGGCAATATGCAAGGTATTGCCAAGGAATAGGCAGATAGGAAGATAAAACCCATAATAAATTATGAACAGTGATCCTGGGGTTAGGTGTTTCACTTCCACCATTCTGCTAAGCTAAACCAAGGATTGCTGGCAAACCATAACGGTGGGGAAGTAGTTCTCCAGAGCTAGGTTAACGGCATGAAGCCTCTCCTTGAAGAGATACCCCCAGCACTAACTGCATCTCTGTGCATTTTGGAAACAATGACTGCAACCACAGTCCTACATCTGTCAGAAATCAGATCAGTGTAAAGCACCATAGGCTTCCTCCATGTGCAGGAATAAACTAGAATCCAACCTCCCGGCTGTATCCTGTACCTCAAAGTGGTCTGGGTACAAGTTGCCCAAATTGCCATCCTTCATTACAAGGTACTTGCAAACATCATGAACTATTTCCAAAGAAAGGATCCTGCCACAAATCACAGACTGATGGCAGACTGTTGGATTAAAAAGCTCTAGAGAAAAAAAAAATAAATTGAGAAACTACATGTTCAAGCAGAATCACACACAGCCAAGTCATGGTTCTTGTAAGTCTGTGCTGATGGCAGTCCATGAAAACCAGTTTCAAAGGCCAACAATGTCACGGGCTCACTGAAGCAAAGGGTACACGGCCAGTCACAGCTGAAGATACAATTCCACAAAACATGTTGACTTTACTGCCACCAAAAGAGAGGCCTTGCTGCCACCTCCCATCTCCTCATCTGCTCTTTTGTTCTACTACTGTATTCCTGTGGCTTACCTTGCACCAACTTGAACACTTTTTAGAGCACTTTATGAGCCAAGTTAGCTCCCTAAGCAGACAGGAAACTAGCCCAACAAAGCACAGAATTTTCCAGGTTGGAGAGTTAAACTGGCTTGGAAAGAGAACGAGCAAGTGTACCAGCTGGCATAAGGAAGAAGGCAGGCCAACGCACTGGGCAGAAGGAGGGAGAATTCATCCATCTTCATTTTGTGGCAGTAAGCCATTAGGGTAGCTCATGCACGTGTGAAACTACAAACTCAGTCTGCAAGGTGAACTAAAAATGCCTTTACTTTTAGAAAGGACACCACCCAAGACACAGGCAGTCAACTTCTAACTCCCTCTTGCAGGTACAGACTTGGGATCTCCCCAAAAAAGGCTGTAGCTGACAGGCACTGTTCTTCCCATCACCCAGACGTGGAAGGTAAAAGGACTTCCAGGAGGTGATACTTGGTGATCAAAGAACAGACAACATGGTATGACACTATTCATACCACATTTTCTAAGGAACCAAGACAAATAGTAGGAAGAAGCCAAAGGAGAAGAAATGGAACAAAACCTAAATTCTTTGGAAGAAAACAGCATCCACTTTATCGAAGAGCAGGTAAAGAAGAGTACTATGGAAGTTTTTATATCGTGTTTAAAGACTGGTTCAATGACATTCTCCCCAGAAAAACAGGAAGCAACTCACAAGCATTGGAGGCGCAGTAGATGGAAAAGACTTTTTCTGCACCTCAATAGTCAGGGTCAGCAAATTTGCACTTTGCCATATTTTACTCCTGCAGAAAGAGGATTCAGTGACTTAGCAGGTAATTTAGTGCATCCCACTGGACCATTTCTTTCCCACTTGGGTGAAAAACCACACCCTGATATTTTAGGGAAAACCTCTGTATTTAATCCCAAACCTAAGTTTTAGTCCAAAGAGCCACTAGCATAACAGAGACAGTCTGTATCAGAATTCTAGTCAGGCTTATTTCACTCAAATCCAGCCTACAGAGTATCTTACAGAATTTGTGCGGACGCTCCACAAGCACAAATCTACATCAGAAGGTGACAAGAAGAAACAATTTCAGCTCTCTATCCCAAGAGCCCCCAATTGCCAAGATCCTGTATCTGATGCAGACCACTGATTTGATCTCTCTTTAAATGAAAAGAACACACAGAACCAACACAGACCAGAATTTGAGACTAGAGCCAGTCCACCCAGCTAGCTCCAGTGGTTACCCTCTAACATGACTACACTTCCATTCAGGAGTTGCAGTCCCTGTCTAACATGGCTAAGCTAGCAAAATTTCCTAAAGTTAGCTCTGAAATTATGCTGCTTGGTGTACCTGAACAGATGTAGGTGTGAAGTGCCTTGGTACAGAACACACACAGAGCCTTCCTAATAGAGGGAGACAGCACTTAACATGTGCAGCCTACCCCAATGGTATAGTATCACACTCTCTCCTGCTAATTTTAAGTATTCCTTCCACCACACAAGCAGAACAACACAACACCAGCAAAGGCTTGTCACCTTTATTTCTCTAGAACTACATCAAACAGCTTTCTAGATAGAAGACACAAAATTAAAGAAGCTCGATTACGTTCATTTCACTGTCCTAAGAAAGAAAACCCCAGGCACATCAATGCAGGCGTATGAACTGATGCATTAAGTGAATGAGGAGCTGTCCTCAGCAGAACAGGCTGCGGTACCGTGTGCCCAAACGCGTGTGACAGCTGCCAGCCAAGGCTGAGACAACCATGGGGAAAGATGGGTCTAAGAAGGCACTTCAACTACCACCTTTAGCCACACACCCCCAAAGGGGTCCAGCTTTCCCGACAGGATTAAATCCTTACAGTTCCTATCATTATACCAAACATGATCAGGAAGCAATTACTAGACCTGAAAGACTAACACCACGCTTCTTCTGCTGGCAGAAGCTCCAGACCTGGAGTCCGGATTTATTAAGGAAAAAAAATCAAGCTCTTGTGTGTAAGTCAGCAACCGTGCCGTGTGCTTCATGCCAAAATCAAAATCGAGAGCCACCACTACCCCCCGGCAAAGGCGCCGGGTTCCTGTAAATCCGTGCGCTCCCCGTTAAACCCAGCCCTCTTCCCGCGACTGCCGCTCTACGCAGATTGCGAATTTCCCGCCTCCTCCTGGAAAACGACACCGAGAGGGGGGAGGGGAGAGGGGGGAAAAAATTTAAGAGAAAATTAGAAGAGCGCAAAAAAACCTCCCAAAAGTAACCTGAAAATCGAGAGGCGGGGGCGTGCGTCGGCCGGGC